ATCTCGCGAGAGTGTTATCGAAAGTGATTTTTCTCTCTCTTCGAACAGTTGGTATATGCTCTGCGAATAAATTGGCGACGGGTATTCCCGCGGACGAAACCCGTCGCTTTGGCGTCGTGCTTTCGGCCCACAATGCTCTATTATTTTGAATAAATATACCTTTAGAGACGCGTATTACACAAACGCGTGTAATGCACAATATGCCGGAACATTACGTGCCCGGACTTATACCGAGCTGGTAACCCCGCGGTACACGCGCGCCGGACCCGGTTCGATTGGAGGAGGTGGACAAAATAAAAATTAATATCTTTTCCCCCGGCCGATCGTGCACATAATGTATAATATTTTAATGTCTGTGAAACTCATAATATTACACCGACGCATATATTATTATATTATATGAACTAAACTAATGACTGCATTCGAAGACCAGACCGGAGAGCGGCGCTGCAAAAAAATATATCTCCTAAAAACAATCTCGTTTACTGTGCAATACCGTTCCTCGAAATATATGAAAAATATAATTAATAGTTAATAATATATTGAGTGGCAAGGGCGGGAAGTGAGCTATTTCAGTCGCGGGTGGCAGGTGACGTGTGCAGCATGAGCCTCAGGCGAGGGCTGTATTTCGCCCAAGACTGAAATTGCCTTCCCGCTCGAGCCATACATACTATTATTTGTCACGCCTCTGCATGCATTGATCACTACAAAGGGATCTATGCAACAACTAGACTATAATTCTACGACAACAATATTTCTGTAAAGAAACGATTTGGTTTTATTTATTTTAAGCGTCACGCATGGAGGTTGTAATATGAATATGACATGTAACCAAAAATGTATGTTTTGTAAGGACCGTGGTATAGATTTCCGTGTCTGGTTATGCAGGGGATACGCAAGTGATATGTGCGCCCAGCAGTTTTTAGGATTTCCACTTTACCGTCCGGCGTTATTAGGGATTCCCACTTTACCGCCCGCTGGACCGAAAAAAGGACGCTTTCCAACCCTATTCAACCGCTTTTGAAAACCAAACTTTCCATGCAGGCGTGACAAAAAATAATTTAAGTTAAATTAAGTAATTCAGCAGAAATATGTGCTTACAGTATTGATAAAAATAAAAAATACATTTATACTTATTAAAATATAATCATTTGAAAAATCTGTGTTTTATATTTCATGGAAATTTCATCATTACCATCACAAGAACTATTTTTTTCTTGGAACTTTGTTCGAAATTGACCTAAAAAATCAAACATTTATTAAGTCATATCGAGAGTTTAAAAATAATATTGAATAATATGTACTAGCAACGCATTTTGCCGCCGAGATGTCTATTCTTTCTTTAAAAATGTTATTGATTTCCAAATATGTACATGACATTTTCACCATTATAGAGACCCTGTAAGTGTGCCATTAAACGCGCGTGATGCCAACTTTTTGACAACTTTTTTTCCCGGTAATATGGAAACCTTTTTAACTCGACAAATCATTTTAATGAGATATATTTAACAACGATAATAACAGAGTTATATTGCAGTTTGCGAGAAGTATCGCACACGAGATATTGAACACGCGAGATTATAATATTATGTACTCGGAGGTTATTTGACGAGGACCAAGCGAAGTTCCGTGACGCTGAAATCGATGAAACGTTATAGATATGCCTGCACTGTGGAGGCCGAAAAACAAATGAAAACGCCTAATTTCTAATATTATTATTATTATTATTATTATTATTATATGTGAAAACTAATAACGATATGATTTTCTACATAACAAGTTTTTATTTTGTTTCGTATGGGTACGCTTTACCGCATAATAATAATAATTATTATTATATTATCAAACGCGTTGTGTTTCGACGGAATTAGAAAATATATTTTTCTTTCGTTGCTTTTGAGCAATAGGCATATAGCGGCGCTCAACACAATAATATAATACCTATAATATACCATATAGATACCTATACTACAGGTGGTGGTCTACGCTAGTGGTCTTTGTTTCAAGAAACGCCGATGAAAAAGCACACTCCGCGTTCCGTTTCGACATTTCGTAAGAACAAAAAAATATCACAATCATAATAATTATAATAATACGTTTCTGGATATTTTCGTGAAAAACAAAACTCGTATAAGCGCAATACCGAACCATGCTGTATACCTACAACAATAATAATACAATAATAGAACGTCGTTGCCAGCCGCCGCAATATAATGCACACAATATAAATTATAATAATATATATAGCTGGTATATATGACGTGGTGCACTTGCGGTCGTAGTTGACTACCACGAATAGGATACCTGTAGGTATATACACTGCAGGTTAGGTCCTGTTATATACCTACCTAGTCGTTCCGTCTCGACCGCGCCTGACCTGCGAGCGAAACGCCCACGCTAAGACTGCAACCCGTACCGCTACCGCGTTTGATGTATACCCGTGGTATACCTGTACTTGGGTAACTCGCGACAACTACCCGCAGTATAGGTAACGTAATGCACAGACACAGGAAAACGGTCACGTTTTCGAAAATTTTGAAATATCCAGCTTCTCAGTAGAGCGCGCAATATTATGCTCGTGGAAGTCGTGACCCGAGCACGCGTAACCGAAACGTAGTTCACCCGTGTTTTTGGAGTTTTTCATTTTTATAGAGCATATTAATATTATATTTCGTAAATTTTTATTTTTTAATGTGCACGGTTTTCTTTTTGCAACGCATTTCGGTGCTATAATTTGTTTTGCGGTAGCCTGTCGCTTTGTTGATTTAAAAATTAAACGAGTTTCAAGCATTTTTTTGTTACAACAGACGAATATTAAGATATTCCAAGAGTTCAATAAATACGGTTTACGTTAAGTACCTATATATGCTAACGCCTAACACTATCGAGTTTCTAAAATAAAATATTATGTCCAATTCGAAAAATATATATAGTTTTTCAGTAGTTTCGACTAATTAATCTGCATGAAAATTGTAAATAGGTATTAGGTACTAATATCGCTATACTTATAATTTATATTATACCTCATACTAAACTAGGTATAGATAGGTAAGTCGTTATTTTCATAGGTAATCGAAGTAACATTATAACAATTTACAATATAGAAAGTCACTAAAATACACTGATGAAGCAATTAATATCACGACGACACGACAATAAATTAATTGCTTACAGTTTAATGTTCTTGTACTTTTAATTTCAATCGGATTTGCGAGTTAATATATATTTAAATTAGGACGAACATTATAATAGAGTCGTGCAATATACATATTATGTATAATACGTTTTATAATAGTTTTATTATTTTCACATTGTCGAATGGTATTGAAATCGTCGCCTCATTACACCGCCAGACTATTATAGACGTACGATATAATATACATATTACATTGTGTACAACTATATTGTCGATTCGACAAATAGTTGGGATTATTTCTCCGTTTTGAGAATTCGTTTAAAAAAAAATATATATATGGTGTTATTTGTTTAGTTTATAATAGAATACATTGTATAACGTCTAGTCGTACTTATTTTCCGACAATAATAAATGCCAAGCGTATACAGGTATCTGTATTTCTACAAATATATATTTCATTGCATAATATTGCTGGACTGAATGCAGAACAAAATGTGTAGACCACATATTTGGTGGACTGGTAAAACGATTAAAAAAAAACGCAGTAGTATAATATGCACTACATATTATATAGGTATTCAGGAAAATATTCGTAACGACATTTTTTATTTTATTTTCCCATTCGTTTTTAAATAATTAAAAATAATTTATATAATTCACATGACCGGTGTAAAAATAATATATTTTATAGGTGATTAATATTGTAAGATCGAGTTAATGTACAAACGGCACAGTTTAATTATGTCGGACAGACATTATTAATATGTCACTATAGTCGATGAACAATAAACTATCATATAAATAGCTGTAGAACCTATAGGTATAGGTACCTACGTATAATATAAGTGTTATATAATAATCGATTTTAATCGGAATTTCATAATTATTCGTATGGGCACCCATTTCTCCGTTTCAGATCATTAAAAACGATTCCGATATACAACTGCTACAGCTAGTTCAAACAAATAATAATATAAAAGTAAAAAATAATAATAAGCTGAACGCGGGCGTCGCGGTGACATTTCGAAATTGCATCGATCGTGATACGAGATGTATAGTGCCTGTCTTTCGAATACGAGTAAATAATACGAGCATTATAGTACATTATCGTCGTCTATAAAATACCTTAGATAACCGAGAGCAAAGATCTCAAAAGGTAGTTTCGGGGTGGTAAAAACACGAGATGCACTATGAATCGAAAATATTTACGAGTGTCAGTGACAGTAATAATTACCAATAACAGTATAATGTGATATGAATATTTTGTTATTTGAATGAATAAATTAGACATAAGTATAATAGTCGTGACCAACGATGCACGCAGAAGGACGACCCAACTAACACGGGGACCCCGAGTGTCTATCGACAGACGTTTCCGAGTGGAATGTGCGTGAATTGAAAAACAAAAAAACTTGGAAAAAAATGTCGCATATTTTACAAGTGTTATTACGATGATGATATTATTATTATGATATTTAAATGTAATGTATCATCGGCGGCGGCGGTCGTCGTTGCGCAATTGCGTAATGTCGTGCACGGACCTCGGCACAGAACCGGCCGGCGGTCTATAGAAAGTAGGTCTGACGAGGCGGCGGCGGCGGCTTCGTGTCCTCTTCACCGCCTACCCTCGATCGGCGGATCGGCGCCACGGACCGTCTCGGGGTAGGGGCGACCGGGACCACTTCCTTTTTCGGGCGACGGACACTACAAAACCAGCGGGTCCTGGTGATCAATGGTCAGTCGTCGATCACCACCGTTCAACAAACGGTCACACTTGCAACAACCGAAGCAGTACCAACAGATCGCAATCACACCACACGGCTGATAAATAATATTATTACATCGTCCGACACCTGTTAGCACGATGAAGGGTTTGTTGTACGCGGTTTGCGCGCTCGGTCTGTGCGCTCACGCGTTCGCCAGCGAAGAAGCTAAGAAGGACTCAGTCAAGGCAGCGGAACCTAAGGCGGCGGTGGCTGCGGACTCCAGCAAGGGCAAGAGACATCTCTCGTCATTCGGTTATGGCGGTTATGAGTCAGATGGCGGTTACGAAGCATACGGCAGTGCCAGTTACGGAAGCGCCGGTTACGGTTACGCCGCACACGACATCGGTTACCACGGTCACGCACAGTTGTTGTCCAAGACCGTCATCAAGGAGGTCGGACACCCTTACCCCGTGCCCGTCGAGAAGCACGTGCCATATCCAGTCAAGGTAGCAGTGCCCGTCGACCGCCCGTACCCAGTACATGTTCCCCGTCCATACGCCGTGCACGTCGAGAAACCCGTGCCATACGCAGTCAAAGTTCCCGTGCCACAGCCGTACGCCGTCTACAAGGAGGTGCCATACCCAGTCAAGGTGCCCGTCGACAGGCCATACACCGTCCACGTTCCCAAGCCATACCAAGTGGTCGTTGAGAAGCACGTCCCATACCCAGTTGAGAAGCACGTCCCATACCCAGTCAAGGTTCCAGTCGACCGCCCATACCCAGTCCATGTACCCGTCGAGAAGCATGTCCCATACCCAGTTGAGAAGCACGTCCCATACCCAGTCCACGTACCCGTCGACCGCCCGTACCCAGTGACAGTCGAGAAGCACGTCCCATACCCAGTCGAGAAACACGTCCCATACACAGTCGAGAAACACGTCCCATACCCAGTCAAGGTGCCTGTCAAGGTCGAGGTGCCAGTGGCATACGAAGTTCCCAGCCATGATGAATACCACCACGGTGGCAGCGCATACGAAAGCAGCTCATACGGCAACTCATACGGACCATCCCACGGTAGCTCTTCATACAGCAACTCGTACGGACCTTCCTACAGCAGCGGACCATCATCGTACAGCAGCAGCTCTTACGGACCATCATCGTACAGCAGTGCTTCTTACGGACCATCCCACGGCATCTCGTCCTACGGCTCATCCCACGGATCATCGTCTTACGGCTCTTCCCACGGCTCGTCATCCTACGGATCGTCTCACGGCAGCTCGTACTGATCAAAAGCTCCAGTCATAATATATTTTATAGGTTAGGTTACCGTGCTTCGCCACACTCGCGACCAAAGCCATTCGCGACTGTCGGCGACAGCACCCCAAAGGAAACAATCAAAATCTAGGTATATTTTTTTAGTTAAGTGACATCGCAATCAATATTCTACCATCAGTATAGTAGTATAAAATATACACAACAACAATATGTCAATATTTGTCTGTTAACATAATAGATCTCAAAGTACAGAGTTGTGTACTTTTTGGGTCGTTGCAATATAATATGTTTTTTGACTGCTAACGTTCAATTTTAATATATGTTTTTTTTACGAATTTCATTGTATAAATAGTTTTTAAAATATGTATTTTAACATCAAACACAATATATTATACATAAATACTATATATTATATATATAAAATATTATATATTATATTGTGAAGCATTCGAAATAAATTTGTTTTCATGTACTTTGTATGTTTGATTATTTTATACTTTATCCAATTTTTGAGAGTGAGTATATTCAAAGCAAAAATACTCAACGTCGTTCATCAAAATATGATTATTTTCAAGTTTTGTCTCTTAAAAATCAATCAACTGTGTAAAAAATGGTAATTTCACGAAAAGCAGTCTACCATCAGTAAAATACTATAGTTAAGCTCTGCTCGTAAAATTAAAATTATGCTAAACCGTAGACGGTCAAATTAAACGCGCAATTAATATTCCCGTTGGTAAATTATAATTTATTAATTATTTAAAAACATATTATTATTATTATTATTATTACTTAAATGACGCAATTTACCACAGAGACAATTTTATTGTAAACTTAAAATGTATCTAAAAAAACACCCACTGCAGACTTGCGGTATTAAGTAATATACATATTATATTATACACTGCACTGTACTATATTAAAAACACATTCTTAAAATTATAAATCATATCAAAGGTTTCCATTAAAGTTTCACAAGTAGACATCGGCATTGGTAGATTTGCATAAGGATTAGTAGTCAAATCCGCCATAAAATACTTTGTGTACCACAGGATGCCGCAGCAAACTTTCTGCAAAACTTTTGTTACGTAAACCAAATGTTGTTATACCATACACTGTATATAGTATAACGTTTTTGAAAACTTTGCAAGAGTGTTAGGTACGCGATAAATTTCTAATGAACCGAATAAACCGAGTGCACTTTGAATACATCAAATCACTTCAAAATAATAATTTATGTGTGTTGTTCGAGGATGAGTGTTTTGTGCTTAAGGAGAGTTTCGTCATCGTTATAATATTATTATTATTTTTGTCGCTGCTGTTGGGAAGACGGCGGCGGCGGAGCGGTTCCAAATTCGAACAAGTGTCCCGACGATCGGAGGTATAATAATGGTAAAACATTTTACATTATGATGAATACAAAAAAATCCCTTCTACGATATTACTATATTAGTAACTATATGTAGGTATTTCAAGTTTTGCCGGAGATCAACCCTTTTTGCAGTAGACTATACGACGGTGTATATTATACGAGAGGCGATTATACCACGAAGACTCCTCTCGAACAAAGGTGATATAACAAACGGGCACCTGTCGAAGTGCCTAATACCCATTTAAATACAAGAGAAATAATTGTAATAATAACAATAATAATGGTACGACAGACGTCGTCCGAAGGTCTCTCGCGCCCAACGCGGTTTTTTTTCTTTCACGCGCGTAGTAAACAAATTGGTCTGACAACGGCGGGCAGTCATTAATTTTTAATAATATAATAGTTTTTCTTTTTTAATAACGTAGTACGCGCTTACCTACCTACCTATAATACAGTATACATAGGTAGTATAATACACGTGCACTGAGTAATGAAGTACGCACATATACCTATATAATATAATAAATATTATGTATTTACTTGTGTGTGTGTGTGTATGTGTGTGTGTGTGTATAGATAATGATTATATAGTGCAGTGCGTTTAAATTCGATTCGCCTGTCGTAAAACGAACGAACGGACGACGGAGCTCGCTTGAAATGCGAACAATCTAAAACACGCGATCCTAATCTTAAACATCGTTAAGCGGCTCGTCGATGAAAAAAGAAGTAATAATAATAAAAAAAAAAAATACTAAGAAATAATAAAAAATTGAAGAAACACATAAATCACGCGCTCGCCGAACGATTCGGTCGTTTTCGAGTAATTTGACCGACGCGACCTTGTCCTAGATGACCGGCCGGGTTTTGTGGTCGGCCGCGATTTTTCGTTCAATCGACGTAATACCCGACTCTGATATAAAATATTCGAAAGAGAAGAGCGCGAAGGTATATACGCATTATACTATATAATATTATTATATTATTATATTACACTCCAGCTGATGGGTAAATCGGATGGCGTTCGAGCGTGGGATTAAACGCGTTTCGATTTCTTACGAATAATACAATGCGTATATTGTGACGACGATAAAGTTGTACGCTGCTCGTGTGACGACGGACGTCGTGTTCGATCGACGGTTGGCAGCTGACGTCGTATCCGATTTAGGTACTTATTATTATGAATTAGGTCGAACCGTGATTTCGTTAAAAGTAGTATTTTCGCCCAATTTGCTAATATACTATTTAATCCCGATATCGAGATCTTTTTTTCCAATTCAAAATATTGTCAAATTATATCTTTAAATCCATGATTGGTTACAACTGAGATAATTATACATGTCCAACGTCCATTATTATAATTATTGATAATATGAACTTTTACGAACCGTAGGTTATTAGGACTGCAGCGAATAGTTCACTTTTCCGATTTGAATCACTCGTATTTTATTACTTAACAGTAACTTTTTACAGAGTTGGTTTTCTTGGTTTTTTTTTATTATTATTTTTACAATTTATTATTTTCAATTAGTTTGATCTTCATGCGGATTTCCATGCATATTTAATTGATAGTACAGAACGCTCAGTCAAATTCTTATTAGCTCAAAATGCTCATAATTTCCGAGTATTCTCCCAACTCATCAACCCTTCATTGATTATACTACATTACTAGAATATACGTGTACTATTACTAAAATATACGTGTATTTTTTTCTGTTGGAGGTCTAAAATTAATTTAAAATGTAAATTGAACACCGGCACGTATATTGGACTTGAATTACTCGGATAAAATTGATTGGACCAAATGATGAGATTTGGACAAGGTTTTTGTACGAAACTGTTGTTTGAATCTATTGCATTGGATCTAACCTCGTGAAACTAATACGTCGAGCGGTATGTAGGTGTACTTAGAGGTGGCAAATATGTTTGCATAATTAGCTCAATGAACGTATAATATAGATGTACCTAATAGTTACGACATAAAATATAGTAGGTACAATACTAATAAAACATATATGTATATATATATTTATTTTTAATAAATTACTCTGGAAAATGTTAGATGCCAAATGTTGGGAACTCAAAAAAAAATGCCAATTCGGCGCTTCTCCTGTATATAACTGTATCACACTATCACTCAACCCGAAATGTATACGCCACTGGACAGAGTGGAGGCGAAACGGTTTTAATAATATAACGACCGATAGGGCACGCGGTGGAAGTTGACATGGCGTCAAAAAGTTGTCTCACCCCAAATATATACTAAATATATATATACACACACAAGTATTTCTACTGTCGCTGCGGAATATCGCCCTAATATTCTTGTCTCCTCGCTGCACTTTCTTGATTCATCTTTTTATATTATTATTACTATTATTTTTTTTTCACACTCGACCGTACACCGAGAGAGTCGTTAAGCCGATTACATTTTTTCGGTTCGTTCGCCTCGTTATTTTGTAATGGACGCGCGCGTGGCTACGATGAGAACGAAAATCAAATCCGCCATGTGCGCCGACGTTTGTTTTGGGGAGAGGTTCGCGTAGCACTATAATATAGTCTACTTATAATAAATGCATATTCACACGAAACTGCCGTTTTATACGAAATTGATCATAACGCCAAACAGGATAAAACTATAGCGAGCATTGCAGCGGCGTGATCGAGAGTCCTCGGCTTGCGTCTAGCGATAGTAAACCGATCTCAAAGTCATTAGGTAGCTTATGAATATTGTAATAGCTTATTAATAATATGATATTATTACTACGACACAGTGTTAATAAGACGTATAATTATATATTGCTTAATTGACGTCTTTACCCGAAACTGGGAAACCATCGACGGTCATCGTTTCCCTACTTCCCGTGTTGACTTCTGATACAGATCGAAACGCGATCATGATAAATATAATATATTATAGTGTAGGTACTTGTACTTACGACGTTATAATATATACGTTTTAAAAACTAAAGCACTTCCGGCAGCAATGCGTATATATTATAACTCAGAAGTGCACTGCATAGTACTTTATGTCTGTATATAGACTGTATAATACGTATATATTTTATTCTAGGACGTCGGCTTTCAAACGCATCGCGATATATATTTGCATTATTATACTATATTTAGATACCAGCTTTTAAAACATCGATTAAAGATAGTATAATGTACACGTTGTATAGCGACGGTCTTGATTAATTTACATAGGTCGACAAAAACGGCGTTACAATTTATGGGCACGGTCGTAATTCGCGGGTTTCATAGTCGGTGGGTGGTGGTGACTTGCGGGTTGGGGTGAATGAGATTGCATACGAAAACGTTCGACATGTCGGGAGGATGGTCATCGAGAAAACCAACCGTGTAGTGGGTATAATAATATATTAACACAGCAAGGTCCGTAAGGTACGCAAGGTGCGTAAATGCTCTATAACTATAATTAATGGAAATAATATTATGATCAGTGATTATATTCTAAATTTAAAATTATTAAAATGTGTTTTACGCATTTTTTTAACGACACTGTATTTTTTTGTGTTTTGAATTAATATGAATATGTTAATATAATATTATGTTACACACAAGACGAGAAACGCCCGACCGTATTAGATTCAAGATTTTAATAGTAAAATAATTAGATATTATTAT